TAATGGAGAGAGGAGGAGAGGGTGGGGACAGCGAGGCAGAAGGAACTTTGGGGGAAGGGACAGGGACGCAGACAGAGAGAGAGAGACTTGGGCATATTTCCCGGTTCATAGGCAGAAATTACTGAGATTGTTACAGATGGTAAAGTCAAAGGTCCCGTTTTCATACTGAGGCCATGCTACGTTACAGAAATAAATGAAGCATTTAGGACGCAATTCCGGGGCAGGCCTAGTGTTTAGCCAGGTTGGCGGGCAGGCACCCTAGAGGTGTGCTCGGATCAGGTTTGGAATTTGGATTCCCCGTGCTCGATACCTGTGGCCAGTAGCCCGGGCCAAAAGCCAGTGTCCCAGCGGTTTGACCAGGGCTACGGACGGACGGAGGAACCGAGGAAGATAGAGATGTCTCCCCTACCTTCCGAGGTCCAGAGAAGCCCTTCCTGGAAGGGTCCAGAAAGGCAATCTCTGACGCGGCTGCGTTTTACGGACAGAGATGCTGGCGGTGAGTGGCCATGAAGGGCCGGCATGGGGGCGGGGTGGGACTCACTGCTAATGCTGCCAAACTGGGAAAGGCTGCTGAGGAAATGTGGTCCTGATGGGTCCTGAGCCACAAGGAGGGAGAGGAGGGCACCCCGAGCCGTAGAGGGATGGCCGAATGGAGTGCTCGCGCCACCCGGGTTTCAAGGCACCAAAGGTAAAGTTCGTGGCGCAGGAAAATAAAGAGAGTTGAGTCAGCCAGAAAAGAAAGAAATGGAAAGGTTTAATCTGTGTCCCCGGGCGAAAATCCACGAGCCCCAAAGACAGGGCCAGTGAATTTGTGCCAACAGGGAAGGGGGGCTCCTTTTTATACGGGTGTTTAATGAGGGGCGGGGGACATGAGCTGAGGAAGTTCCCACCTCGGGCGTTGGCACAGTATTCAGGAAGGAGTCAGTATCTGTGTGGGGGTCGTTGTGGATTCCAGGGAGGGTCCATTATCTCCATCACCATCTGACTTGCAGGGGCATGCATCCGCTCCTGGGCTTCTCTTTGACCTAACAGCTAGGGCAAGAAAAAACACATTTTGTTTATCCATTCAACAACTAATGGACATTTGAATAGTTATACATTTTGGTTATCATGAATAATGCTGCTTATGAACATTCCTGTGCAGGTTGTAGGACTGAACACCTGGATACCAGAAACACCCCCTGCGGATTCGTTGTTCCACAAGGCTAAAAGAAGCTTGTGGGACAAGGGGGGGGGCGATGAGGAGGAAAATGGTCTTGCAAGGCGTGTCAGACCATAAAAACTGTGAACAATGCACTGCCATGGGGGGGTGGGAAGGTTGTTGTTGCTGGCCACAGGACAGATCATCGGATATGGCCTGCGGACCCCCAAAACCTGGGGATCTTCCTGTAAGCCCATGAAAGGGGGCAGAACCATATTTGCAAGACAAAGACCACAGCGGGATATATATAGACAGGCTCTCTACATGTTTCTTCACTCTGATTTGGATATTATTCCTGGAGTCCACTAGTGTTAATAAACAGGGACCCTCCCTTTTTCTTGGAAGCGTGCTTGGTATTTTTTTGGTCTTCTCTAACAAGAGCACATCCCTGGATTGCAGGCTTAATACCCAGTAGGGGGCGTGTAGGTGGCAGCTGATCAATGATTGTCATCATTGATGTTTCTATCTCTTTCTCCCTCTCCCTTCCTCTCTGAAATCAATAAAAATATACATTTTTAAAAAACTATATATTTGATCTTCCTCACTATTCCTGGCACAGAGCTCCTTAAACTTGGAATTTCTTAAGAGATAAGAGAGATTGAGATATCTTTTGTTATTCATAACAAGCCCCTTTAAACCACACCTGAGTTTGTGTTAATGCGGTGACTTCATGAAAGCTGCCTAAGGGTGGGGCCAGTTGTCAGGGCAGTGATTAGAGGAGTGGAAGTTTCAACCCGACCCTCCAACCTACAAAGATGGTAGAGAGAATAGAGGTTGAATTAATCACCAATGATCAATGATTTAATCAATCATGCCTAAGTAATACTGAAGCCTCCATAAAAACCCAAACGGGTGCAAAGAACTTCCTAGTTGGTGAACACTAGGAGATGTAGGGAGAGTGGTGTGCCTGGAGAGAGCATGGGAGTTCTTCATTCCTTCCTACATACCTTGCTCAATGCATCTCTTCTATATAGATGTTCCTGAGTTGTATCCTTTTTTATTTTTTTTAAATATATTTTATTGATTTTTTACAGAGAGGAAGGGAGAGAGATAGAGAGTTAGAAACATCGATGAGAGAGAAACATCGATCAGCTGCCTCCCGCACATCTCCTACTGTGAATATGCCCGCAACCCAGGTACATGCCCTTGACTGGAATCGAACCCGGGACCTTTCAGTCCGCAGGCCGACGCTCTATCCACTGAGCCAAACCGGTTTTGGCGAGTTGTATCCTTTTTTAAAAATGAGTAATCTGGCCCTAACCAGTTTGGCTCAGTGGATAGAGCGTCAGCCTGCGGACTCAAGGGCCCCAGGTTCGATTCTGGTCAAGGGCATGTAGCTTGGTTTCGGGCACACCCCCAGTAGGGAGTGTGCAGGAAGCAGCTGATCAATGTTTCTCTGTCATTGATGTTTCTAACTCTCTATCCCTCTCCCTTCCTCTCTGAAAGAAAACAATAAAACATTTTTTTAAAAAAAGAGTAATCTGAAAGAAACAAAGATGGCAGCATAGAAAAACACGGGAAATTGCTGCCTCGCACAACCACTGCAAAAATACAACTAAAAGACAAAATGGACATCATCCAGAACCACAGGAAGGCTGGCTGAGTGGAAATTCTACAACTACAAGGAAAGAGAAAAGCACACTGAGACTCAGAGGAGGTACGGAAGTAAAGTGCAGAGGTACGGAGGCTCACGTGGAAAGGGCTGGCAACTGAGGACACGGTTGTCTTTTTCAATCGGGAGGGAGTCTCAAGCTCCCAACTACTCTGAACTCCAGTTCTGGGCGAGTCTCTGGGGACCGAGACTCATACGGGGAGAAACTGGACTGTCTGGCATCAGTCGGAAATCGAGGACAGCTTTCTCTCAGAGGTGCTTGCAGTGATTACTGGGACACTGAGACACGGGGCCTCTAAGGGTAGGATTGAGGATCAGCCATAGCCGTTTGCTCCACCCTGTTGATTCCCTGAGACCCCGCCCCACCCAAGCTGTGCCCAGAGGCTTTTGCATATGAACAGGCTGGCCCTTTGAGATCTAAAATTACCTAACAAACTGCAGCTGGGACAGAGAGACCCAGAACATCCAAAAGAAGGCCCAAGGCCCCACAGCAGCTTGCATTGCTTCACAGTTGGGCCTCATCTGGGCACCTCCAAACCCCAAACAAAGAAGAGGAATCTGCAGTTCTCTCCATAGCTGCTGCTGGGTAGCCTCAGGCAGAGGCTAAATTAGCACCTCCTTAGATCCAAGAGCCCATGTACCCAGTGGTGAGATTGGGACCATCCAGATTACAACTCCTCAGATCCATAAGGGACACACTCAGGGGGCAGACTCAGTGAGCACCAAAGCCCCAATGAAGCAAGTCTTGCCCCATAAGGGTGTCTTCAGCACAGAAGTTCTCCCACTGTAGACACAGCTGATTCTCACAGCCAATTGGCCTGGAGGTCAATTCCTCCCAGTGATACTTACAACAATCAAGGCTTAACTACAACCAGACTGTGCACAAAGCCCACAAGGAGGTGCACCAAGAGTGTCCACCCCAGGTAATTGGGGAGACTGAGCCACTGGGCCCTATAGGACACCTAGCACAGAAAGCCACTCTATCAACACAGGGAAGCATAAAAAATGTGGAGACAAAGAAACAGGTCACCAATGACAGAAATGGAGGAAAGCAAACTACTGGATATAGAGTTCAAAACCACACTTATAAGGTTTTTCAAGAATTTTCTAGAAACCACCGATAAATTTAGTGAGACCCTCAAGAAATCTAGTGAGACCCTCGAGGATATGAAAAAGGACGAACTAGAAATTAAGCATACACTGACTGAAATAAAGAATATTATACAGCGTTCCAACAGCAGACTAGAGGATCACAAGAATCAAGTCAAAGATTTGAAATACGAAGAAGCAAAAAACACCCAACCAGAAAAACAAAAAGAAAAGAGAATCCAAAAATATGAAGATAGTGTAAGGAGCCTCTGGGACAACTTCAAGTGTACCAACATCCGAATTATGGGGGTGCCAGAAGAAGAGAGAGAGAAAGATACTGAAAACCTATTTGAAGAAATAATGACAGAAAACTTCCCCTACCTGGCGAAAGAAATAGACTTACAAGTCCAGGAAGCGCAGAGAACCTCAAACAAAAGGAATCCAAAGAAGACCACACCAAGACACATCATAATTAAAATGCCAAGAGCAAAAGACAAAGAGAGAATCTTAAAAGCAGCAAGAGAAAGACAGTCAGTTACCTACAAGGAAGTACCCATACAACTGTCAGCTGATTTCTCAACAGAAATTATGCAGGCTAGAAGGGAGTGGCAAGAAATATTCAAAGTGATGAATGCCAAGAACCTACAACCAAGATTACTTTACCCAGCAAAGCTATCATTCAGAATTGGAGGTCTGATAAAGAGCTTCACAGATAAGAAAAAGCTAAAGGAGTTCATCACTACCAAACCAGTATTATATGAAATGGTGAAAGGTATCCTTTAAGAAGAGGAATAAGAAGAAAAAGGTAAAGATACAAATTATGAACAACAAATACACATCTATCAACAAGTGAATCTAAAAATCAAGTGTATAAATAATCTGATGAACAGAATAAACTGGTGAATATAATAGAATCAGGGGCATAGAAAGGGAATGGACTGACTATTCTCAGGGGGGGAGGGTGTGGGGAGTGTGGGAAGAGACTGGACAAAAATCGTACACCTAAGGATGAGGACAGTGGGGGGGGGGGTAAGGGCAGGGGGGGGTGGGAACTGGGTGGAGGGGAGCTATGGGGGGAAATAAGAGGAACAACTGTAATAATCTGAACAATAAATATTTAATTTAAAAAAATGAGTAATCTATTAAGTAAACTCTTTACTTGAGTTCTGTGAGCCACACTACAAATAATAAACCTAAATAGAGAGTCGTGGGGACCTCTGATTAATAGCATGTTGGTCAGAAAAACAGGTGATAACCTGGACTTTTGATTATGTCTTAAATGGGGACAGTCTTGTGGGACTTTTGTAAGCAGTTGACAGATATGAGCAAAGCAAGGATGATGGGCCAGCTATAGAAGGTCATCAGCATAGAAAGTCCCAGTTGCCTAGCAATGGACAATCAATTGTAGATTGGAGCCTTGCCCCCAGGTGACTTTTTCTCCCCTTGCATATCGCTGGCCTTGAGGTTTGGACCACCTGACCTTTCCTCCCTGGCAATAACATCTAGGCCTCAGTCTTATTTCAGCTCCAGTCCCAGATAAGCAACAAAACCAGCCACACTGCCTTCCCGTCAGGACCAGCTGCATGAAATAATGACCCCTTGCCCTGATGCTGGCCAGTCAATCATTGGAGACCACAACCCTGAATGGACACACCTGGAAATATTCTATTAAGATCTTCATTTGGACCTCCCTTGAATTCTCTATCCTTAAAACCCTTAGAAAGGAGGACTGAGCAAGCTCTCCCTCCTGGGAGCATACCCTCCTGGGAGCACAGGACTGAGCCTTTGGAATAGGAATTTTTAGGGGTGAAATAGGCATGTTTAGGGATTTTTTTTAAATTAAGGGGATCCATGTAAAAAGCACAGGCTGCAAAGCTGCAAAAGGTTACATTTCCATAAGACAGGGAAGTTGGGAGAGGCAGCAGTTACATTTCCATAAGATAAGGGAACTGGGAGTAGCAAAGGTCTATATTTACAAAATAAGGAAGGACGGAGAAAGCCCAGAGGGACTAGGAGAACAATGAGGGAGGAGGGCATCACATGTCCCATGTGAGGTTTGACCTTTGAGCTCAGGAGTTACTATAGTGACCAAATCAAAGACAATATTGAGGCAGAAAAAACTGCAGCCCTTATAAACTGTGGAAAAAGGGGCTCAGTGGGACTCTTTCCCCTTCCCCACGTGGGAGTCTGTACTTGTTCTTCAATAAATTTCTACCTTGGTGGCGGCCATTTTGTTTGGGCACCAAGCAGGAGTTGATGGCAGTGCTTGTGGTGGCACCAACTAAAGGCAGGAAAGGGCAAGCCGTGTGAGCAGGTGGACCGGGTGAGCCCAGCAGCCAGCCAGCCAACAGCGAACTAACCTAGCAGTCTACCACTTACGCATCTAGCCAACCAAACCAGTTCACCCGAGCCACTTCACCATCAATTCAGGTTCTGCCGGCCCAGCCGTCGTGGCAGCCCTGAGAGGAGCACTGGCATCCTTTTCCTTCGATCCTCGGGATTTGAAGATGGCTGCACAGTCAGCACCGAAAGTTGTGCTAAAAAGCACCACCAAGATGTCTCTAAATGAGCGCTTTACTAATATGCTGAAGAACAAACAGCTGACGCCAGTGAATATTCGGGCTTCGATGCAGCAACAGCAGCAGCTAGCCACTGCCAGAAACAGAAGACTGGCCCAGCAGATGGAAAATAGACCCTCTGTCCGGGCAGCATTAAAACTTAAACAGAGCTTAAAGCAGTGCCTGGGTAAGAGTAACATCCAGGCACGGTTAGGCCGACCCATAGGGGCCCTGGCCAGGGGAGCCAGCGGAGGATGAGGCCTACCCATAATCCAGAGCGGCTTGCTTAGAGGAGGACTACGTGGGGGATGTGCCACAAGAACCCTACTTAGGGGCGGGATGTCGCTCCGAGGTCGGGGTATGATAGGTCGGGGAAGAGGAGGCTTTGGAGGCCGAGGCAGTGGACGAGGGAGAGGTGCCCTTTCTCGCCCTGTACTGACCAAGGACCAGCTGGACAACCAATTGGATGAATACATGTCAAAAACAAAAGGACACCTGGGTGCGGAGTTGGATGCCTACATGGCACAGACAGATCCTGAAACCAATGATTGAAGCTTGCCTTCCCTTCTCTGAGAGACTTGTTAAAAGTTGCCATGTCTGTAAATAACCTTGAGATGACAGATGAGAAGAGCCTACCTGACTGATGCTGGAAGGACCTATCACAGCGGTTCTCAACCTGTGGGTCGCGACCCCTTTGGCAGTTGAACGACCTTTTCACAGGGGTCGCCTAAGACCATCCTGCAGATCAGATATTTACATTACGATTCATAACAGTAGCAACATTACAGTTATGAAGTAGCAACGAAAATAATTTTATGGTTGGGTCACAACATGAGGAACTGTATTTAAAGGGCCAGAAGGTTGAGAACCACTGACCTATCACAATAGACTATGGACTTACTTGTCACCAGTGTGTGCATTTAGTGTGTTCCTTTTACTTTTTTGATATCTATTATATGAAACCCTTTTTTCCTCTGACTTGGGTTTGGCTTCATTTTGTTGATGGGCTTCTTTGTTTGTTTGTTTTTTCCTTCTCCCAGACTTCTCTTTGAACATGAATATGTTAGCCTTCTTTCCACCTTTGCCTCCCCTCACCTGCCATATATGCTTTGACTGTCTAACATTTCCTCTGTTCATCTCTCTACCCTCTGAAAGTCCCAGAAAGAATTCATTCAATGTTCCTCCCCAATGCCTAGGTGTCTGTGATACAGTTCTGTTCTATATCACTTTAATAGCCACTTAGAAGTGGTTAGAAAATCTGGAGTTCAAAAATGCATTCTGCCACATTGATATTTTAGTATAGTAAATTAGGAACATTGACCTAGCTACAGTGTCACATGACAGGTTATACATGGTGGCAGCTCTGATTTGATGGAAGTTACTACCATGTGCATTGATACCACATATGTGAGCTGGTTTGGGTGTGTGCATTATTTCTACCATGGAATAATATTTATAAACTTGCCTCTTGGCTTTGCATCATGTCCAAAGGGTTGCTATTGGGTTGGCTTACACCTGCAGTAGAGAGGGAAAGGCCATTGGTTAAGCAGATGCTTCAGAAGAGATGGCAGAACTATGGCAGATACCTGCTGGGGAGGGGTTAGAAGATACCCATGTTGAATGTAATTCTTAGGTTTATCCCAAACCAGTCTTGGGCTTTTCCATACATTGGCTTTGTTTGACCCTCTTATTTCCCTTGAAGGTTTGTAAGTTCAACCATATTTTGTCAACTGTTCAGTTTCAGTAGAATCTTGTATTTATGGTTTATTATAACAAGAAATTGTTCTCTCAAATCCCACTAGGACTTTTCATTTGTTGTGCTCTTGGAAATGCTATGGCTACTGTAACACTACCTTAAGAGCTGAAAAAAAATTTCTACCTTTACTATATCATCTTAACCTGTGGATCTAACACTATCTTTAGAGTGTCAGAATTGAGTTATAAGACACCTAGATGGTACTGCAGAATTGCTTGGTGTGGGAAAACATCCTCACACTTTTGGTGACCAGTATTGAGAGTAGTGAGTGTGTAAGGGAGAACAGGAGTGTGTTTTTCTATATACTTCTGATCCTTTTAACAATTCCTGAGGGCCAGTTCCCCTGGAATTTGTGTATGTTTGCTTCTCAATGCATGCACCTGTCTCTTTAATTATATCGGAAGCCTGTTTTGGGGTTAATGGAGCTGCTTTGCTTGCACATGCAGAGAGCTGGCAATGTGTATGAGTTTTTTATAGTCACCCTTACACAACCCCATTCCTCCCCACCTGCAAGCCATGGACTGTCTTTACCCAATGAGGGTGTGAAAATTTAGTTCCTTTGCTTCAAGAAAGCACAAGCTCTGAGGCTGAATTTACACTTAGTGTTCCCCTACTGGATCATGCTGAAGCAACTCTCCACAAGATGTTGCCAGAAATTACACAATTGTTTAGTTTCTTCCCTTTCCTGTCCTGCTTCCTCCAGTCTCTTATCAGGTTCTTCTGGGAGCACTTCCTTAAATTAATTGCATGTACATAAGTCCTTATCTCAGCAGCTGCTTCTGGAGAACTAAACCCAAGACAAGGGATGTTACTTATTTCTTATTCCTCAGTTTTCAGGTGGAGGGACATCTATTACTGCTGGCTTTTCTGTGCCCCCACCTCCCGCTATGGGAAGAGAAGTGACACGCTGAATTGTGAATTTGGAATTAGGAATTTGGCATATGTTGGTATATCAGATGTTTTGTGAATCTTTAGGTAGTGATGCTGGCTCAATCCTCATGGGCAGTAAAGGCAATCTACACTTGGCATAAGTGTCAATCTGGCAGAATGAACTACTGAAACAAAGGGAAAGGGTCAAATATAATCATTTTGACAGGTTGATATCCTCAAGGGATAGTGCCATACTGGGCACTTAGTATTGGTCTCTGTTGCTGGAAGCTTAGACATCTGATAATAGTAATATGTAGATTAGCCTTGATAAGAGGAAGCTCATGCTGTTGGTCCCATGCATATCCTCCATCTCTGCCATTGTGGCTACTCATTGTCCAAGCACTAGGGTGGTAGAAGACAAACTGGCTGATATTAATAGGCCAGGTCATCCTTTCTCTTTGGTGATTTAGTGATCCTTTTTCAGTGGATGCTCTCTGGTGGGTGTTAATACAAAAAGACAAAAACCTTTACTTTTTACCCATTTCCATAAGTCTACCCACAAGTCTCTTCCTCAGGCCTCCTTGACCCCAATATTTCCATCTTTCCCTTACAAGTCCCTAAACAACCAACCAAGTCATTTACTGTTGCCCATGAATCAATATTATAACCTCAGGTAACTTCTTCCACACAAAGTGGATGACCAAGCATACCACCAAAAGCTCTGTCACTGCCTTTCATGGACATCTTTGAGAAGGGCCATAGGAAAGCAGCTACACATTTTCAGCTTGTATCCAAAACACTGAGCTTACCCATCCATGAAACAAGTTTGAGGTCTTTCCTTTTATGTCAGTTGGTAATAAGGGCTGTTCCCTCTTTCATGTGCCCATAGGTGTGACTTGAGTGAGAGGCACTAAAGCAACAGTGGTGGGTGATATGGGTGTCTGGATGTCTGAGAAAAGGAAGGGGCATTTATCTGAGGCGTCCCTTGAGATAAACTTTAACCATGCAGGTATACGGACATTCAAAGTAGTTGCCAGCAAAATGACTACTTTATGCAGGCAGGACCGTGGCAGGCAATTTCATCTGACCTTATATTAGTACTAGAGGCCCAGTGCACAAAAATTTGTGCACTCGGCGGGGAGGGGGGGTCCATCAGCCCGGCCTGTGCCCTCTGGCAGTCTGGGACCCCTCGGGAGATAACGACCTGCTGGCTTAGGCCTGCTCCCGGGTGGCAGAGGGCAGGCCCAATCCCTAGGTGCAGCCCCTGGCCGGGCTCAGAGCAGGGCTGATTGGGGAGTTGAGGCGCCGCCCCCTGTCATGCACAGAGCAGGGTGGATCGGGAGGTTGTGATGCCACCCTCAGTCACGCTCAGGGTAGGGCCGATTGGGGGGTTGGGGCACCGCCCCCTGTCACACTCAAGGCAGGGTCGATGGGGAGGTTATGGCTCTACCCCATCACACGCAGAGCAGGGCCCATGGAGGGGGGGTTGGGGCGCCACCCTCTATCACCCACAGAGCAGGGCTGATCAGGGGGTTGGGGCGCTGCCACTCTCACACTTAGGGCAGGGCTGATGGGGAGGTAATGGCTCTAACCTGTCACACACAGAGCAGGGCCCGTGGGGGGGGGGATTGGGGTGCCGCACCCTGTCACACACAGAGCCGCAGGGTGATCAGGGGGTTGGGGAGCTTCCCCCTATCAGGCACAGAGCAGGGCTGATCAGGGGGTTGGGGCACCTTACCCTGTCACGAACAGAGCAGGGCGGATAGGAAGGTTGTGGCCCCGCCCCCTGTCACACACAGATCCGCAGGGCTATCAGGGGGTTTGGGCACTGCCCCCTGTCACACTGATCCCGGTGCCCGTAGGCCTCTCAGCTCCGCTGATCCCGGTGCTGGGAGGCCTCGCGGCTCCACTGATCCCGGTGCTGGGAGGCATACTACCCTTTTACTATATAGGATAGAGGCCTGGTGCACGGGTGGGGGCCGGCTGGTTTGCCCTGAATGGTGTCCTGGATCAGGGTGGGGGTCCCCACTGGAGTGCCTGGCCAGCCTGGGTGAGGGGATGATGGCTGTTTGCAGCTGGTCACACACCCTTCAGGGTGGGGGTCCCCACTGGGGTGCCTGGCCAGTCTGGGTGAGGGGCTGAGGGCTATTTTCAGGCTGGCGGGTGACTGAAGCTCCCAACTGCTCCTTTTTTTCTGTTTTTTTTTAAAATTCTGGGCCAGCTTTGGCTCTGGCTCCAGCTCTGAGGCCTCTGCTGCAGAAAGCAGGTATCTGGTTTGTTTGGGTTCTATAATCGAAACACTGTATCAACTCCAGCTCAGAGATCCCGGTGGGCTGAAAGCAGGTTTCTGGGGTTTGTTTAGCTTCTATATTTGTAACAATGTTTCAAACTGCAAGCTCAGAGGCCAGCAAGGCAGGCAGGGAACATTGGTTTCCTCCGTCACTGAAGCAAGCAAGCCTCATGTTAGCTTCAAGCTGCCTGGCTGCCAGCCGCCATCTTGGCTGGCAGTTAATTTGCATATCTTGCTGATTAGCCAATGGGAAGGGTAGCGGATGTATGCTAATTACCATGTTTCTCTTTTATTAGATAGGATAATTACGACTGCCAGAGGAATTATGCCACACAAATAGTTACAGTTGCAATTCACACAGCAATTTATTCTCCTTTTATCATTGCAGTGGGCACAAAGCTTATTAAAACACAGCACACTGTTACAAAATTCCTGGTGCCATGGGTACAGTCTTAAAGGGAGCTCCCAAAGCGTGGCTTCCTCTGGTGGCAGCAGTGGCGCTTTCTCTGACTGGCTGGTCAGGTCAGGAACGAAGTTTCAGTTTCAGGGCGGCATTGCCTTCAGAGTTCCCTATGCACAGCGTGGATCGATCTGAGGCCCCACCATTTGTCTGTCTTCTGGCACGGAGTGGAGCTGAGTGAAGTGGAGAGGAGGATTGTGCCCAAACTGAAGGCGATCAGCGAAGATAAACTTCCAGTGATCAGAGTAACCAGTGCAGCGCAGGGATCAAAGCGATCAGCGACGACCAGGTGTCCAGTGATCAAGTGATGATCAACTTGGTGTTTGGGGACCCTTTAAATAGCCTGTAGTACCCACCGCAGTCCAGCGGGGGAGT